GTCTTCAAACTACGCAGATCCCCATTAAATAACCACCTGGTAACGCCGTCATCATCATCAATATCAACATACAACCAGGGGCAACTGCGTAACGGTTGTCACACCTTCCATCAGCACAACAATTAACGAAGTAATAAGATGGAAGATGAAGAAAGGAAAAATTGGTCAAAAGCAGTAGAAAATAGTAAAAGAGTAGGAGGAATGAGAAAATGCTGAATTTATAATGGTGGTTAGGGGGAAGATAAAATGAGATTACATCTCCGCCATTGAGATCTTTTCAGAGTCATGTCACCTAGTCACAAGAACCCCAAGCAGCTACTTTGCATCTCCCCAAATAGCTTAGATCAACGGTTTAAAAGCTTAGGGACTGATGCCAATTTTTTAATCTGACCACGCCTAAGGCTTTCCCCACCTAAACCTACTCCGGCTAACATTGCACGACGAGGCAGACGGTGACCTAGGATGGGTGGTAAATGTTTCAGTCACATGAGTTCATATATGTTCACAACCTCAGCAACTGGTTTCCCTATTCTCCATAAAACTCTACACTTGACTTCTGCGTTACGTGCTGACACCATGAAGCACGACCTATGCTACGAAGGTAGCCGTGGTCAAAAACTAAAAACCTCACGTTCTCTACCTTTAATAGCCATGTTTCACAGCCACACAGTAGAACAAAGCGAACTGCAGCACAGTATACTCAACCCCTAACAGGTAATCGCATATCACGGCGGCGCTACAGACGGAGTAAACTAGCAAAAGCCAATCGAGCCCTATGTATCCACGATGACATTTCAACCCAACAGGGTTGATCCAACTTCCTAGGTAAGTGAATTGGTCAACGCACTCAACCTCATACCCTACTGTTAGCCGGGCAGCACTGAAGACCAGTTGTGGTGCAAAAACTTGCATTTCGGTGGGGAGGAGAGCATCCTAAGTACTCTCGAATTGCTACTCAAGGTGTCTAGTGGACTCTGCATCTTGTCAGCGTTTCCACCTAAAAGGACTATGTCATCTGCATATTCTACATCTACCAAGGATTCTCCAGTGATTAGGTCAATCCGTGATGCCAAATGACGAGGGAGACTTCCATAAGAACGTCTATGATAAAAACTAAACAGTAATAGAGTGGGCATCCTTAACGGTAACCACTCGAAGTACACAGCTCACCTGACAACTCAATATTGGCTTTAACATGCCTACGGGTGTTCTAGTAAAGAGTCTTCAGTAGAGTGATGTACTTACTCAGTGCCTCTTTTCAGTAAGACACTGTCATAAAACCTCTCGACCGACAGAGTAGAGTAGTACCTTCGGATCAAGAAATACAGCCAGTGTCGGTAAATGTACTTGTGTTCCAGAGCCTGGTGATGTAAACATCCGATAGATACACTCATGGCCAACTCTGGAACCTGCCCAATTTCCTCGGGTTCGCTGTTCTTGAGCTCCACTCAGGCGTGAAATCTCAGACACTAAATTCGTCATGCTGATTTCTCTGTGGCTATCACAAGACTCCTCATATTTCTTGAAGACTGGGACAACCAGTGATCGAGCCCAGTCACTGGGGTTCTTATCTGACTCCCGCACACTAAAACTTCTTGACCAACAACCTTAATTGCCTCTAGAACTAGTCCGTCTGACCTTGCTGCTCTTCCTCGTTTCAGGTTGTCTACAGCTTTCTCGATTACTGCAAGTGTTAAGGGATCCCATCCAGGATCTTACTGGATAGCGGGTAACGCAATAGTAGTTGGAGGCCAGTTGAACTGTACCTCGAAGTGTTCTACCCATCGTTCCAGCCGTCTCTCCTGTCAGTGCATCGCAGACCCATCCTTCTTCTTTATCGTCTCACTAATCATTGATGTTTTCACTGCAGTTTGCTTGATATGTTCAAATAACCGTCTACTGTTACTTATTGACGCTGTCTTTTCCATTTCTTTGACCTTCGCCGCCCACCACTGTTCGCGGTCAATGCGTAAACGTTTTGCAAGTTTACATTTGAGTTGCGTTCACTCATCATTGCACTCACAGCATACAGAGATAGGTTCACGTGTATCCATTAATTCAGAAGTTGCTTATGTCCACTAGGACTTTTTAACTACTGTTTGAGAGTCGGCCACGATCTTCAATGCTGTTTTAACAGCAGACCGGAGGTGGGACCAAGCTTCTTCTAGATGAATGACATCATCGTGTTCCAACAACTGTCGGGCCAGTTTTCCACTGAAAGTCCTCTCGTTGTTGAGTCACTCTCAAAGGTCTTGTTGCTATGGTTATACTCAGTCCATTGAGACGCAGGTATGAATGCGCCGAAATTGACGCGTGGTCGCTGTCCAAACATGTGTCCCAAAAATAAAAATGACTGGTAGCAATGTAGTTTGTATCCACCACTAAGCTGATGCCATATTAGACAATGTTTCTCTTTGCGTTTGAAGTTTATGTTGGCTAGAAACAAACGGTTATCTGAGCACAGATGCACTACGTGGTCTTTGTTATCTGCTCGTTCGGATGGGATTCTAAAAGTATCTTTCTGCATGATTTCAATGCAAAAGTGGGTACTTGCGCATTGAAATCACCTGCAACAACTATCGTCTGAGTGCTTGGCTTCCAGTAGTAGGCCAAACAGTTTTCTGTAGAACTTATCCTTCACCTCGTCCCCATTGCAGTTAGCGGATGTGTAAGCAGAGATTACAGAGACAACAAGTTTTTACCACTTCTTTAAATCTTCACTCTAACGGCAATCGGCGACTGTCAATATTCTGCCTTAGTGCCTAACGCCATACCAACACCTGAAAGACTGCGAGAACTGGCCAATGAATCTCTAGAAACTCGAAGGGTGAATTCTAAAGATTCAGTATACTGACCGAGTGACCACGCTTGAGTCCTGTACGATTGTCTCACAAACAAAGCACACATCCACGACCCAAGCTGCTAGTTTTAGCTAGTGAAGTTAGTTAGTCGATTTGATAGGGAGAGTGAACACTGAAGGCACCAACGTGTAGTCTGAAGAACCGTTTCAGGAGACCAAAGATGCTGTTCTGTGGGCTCACGTAATCGTCGGAAGCTGCAGAGGTGGAGGAAACTAAACATGTAGGACTGTTGATTGAAAGACGTAAAGGAAGGTTAGAAGGTAAGAATGTGAGAGGTGGACAATGATCCAAAAGAACTTGAAGGCGGTTGACACTTTTTGACTGCCCACACCGCAGAAGGCTAGGTCTTCGTGAGGTATAAGGAAAAGGTTTAGTGCGTGACCACAAAACCGGATGGACATCTGCTAGAGGCTGGTCGCATACAGCTTTTTAGTAAGTTTGAGATTTCGAGTAATAGTCAGAGAACTTCAGTATGAAGCCATTTACTGGGAAGTAATGGTAATTTGCAGGGCGATCTTCATATAAATTACTTTGTACAGAAAGAAATGCGTAAACGACTAAGTAAGCCAGCTGTGACCAATGGTCACGTTTTTTCACGTAAAAAACGTTACTACTGGTTCCCAAGTAACTTCCACCGTACAGACAATCACGATCAATAAGTATGGAGGTGTTTACGACGCCAAAATTGAGTCACCAATAAGCAAAGAAAATCTCAAATTCTGCAGGGTTCAGAGATACCATAAAAATTCAAAGCCATGAAGTGAAAAACAGAAGATATCGACTCGTATTTTTCATAGGATGGCAGTTGTAAGAAATCCACCAAGAAATGGGACGCCAGAATATGAAATCATAAATCATTTGCAAAAAGGATAGTCGTTTATCACACTGGATGAAAAATGAGCAGATTACACCCTACCTTCAAATCGAAGGCCTATAACAGGTGTACGGACAGCAATATTTGAACTAGTCAATGTCTCTTAAGTCAGTAGGTATCAAAAAGGAACACAACTACTATCCAACGGTTGAAATTGCTACACATACGGATAGAATGTACTAATCTGAAAGAGGAATTAGAGAAGTAACCCAGTACAGTAGAAAGGCATGAAAAGCGAGGGAAAGGATGGGACAAAAACAAAACTTGGTTTGATGGTTAGGGTGAAGTTTGACTGTTTCTTCAGCACTGAGCCGTATCGCCAACCACCAACAGCAGTTGTCACGCGGACCTCTAACAGGAAGTTCATATTTCCTCATACGGATGTGACCAACATTCAGAGACCTTATGGATTGATACCATGCTTGAGTTTGACAATCTCCTTCCGAACACACTCCAGTCAAGATTGTGCAACGGTGTAGACAGTGACTATGAATGCATAACACACCCCAAGTACCACAGTCAATGGTCTGCAACTCTGTGCTTCACCTCTCCGTTATTAATGTGGTGGTTCATTGGCGTGACATACGCCACGAAGGCAAGTTTTTTAACACCTGAAGCCTTCTCTTGTCATCCACCTTAAACTGCCAGCTCACACCACATAGCAAATTGCTGTGCAGTATACTCGGCCTTTTTTAGATAACAGTTGGATATGCCACTAGGACCACAGATGATTCAGGTTGGCAAATGTCCACTGAGTCTTCCACATGTATCCACAGTTATTCATCTTTTAACTTTGCAACCCGGCCTTCAATTTCAGTATAAATATCCTTCCTTTTCCCGTTGTGGCTTTGGCAACTTAAGCAAATAAGATTGACAAGTAACAGCCCATAGGCTTCCGTTATTTTTCCAGAGACTAAATTCTGAATAGCTTCTAATTGAGATGTATTCAGTCTAATGAACTAGGTATCATATACACTAATTTAGTGTCATCCAACAGCACGATACCACCAACACTCAACAGAGATAACAAGACACAGAATCTGACTCTTTATAGGTACTTTATTTATACAGAAAAATGAGTAATTATGTGGAACAAAATGTCACAGAGGAAGCTATGAACAGAGTACTGCAGTTATCCATGAACTAATCGAAAGCATACAGCGACTTAGTGTACTTTACTAACCCATATTTACGCAACGACGTCTGGAAACAGTGAAAATGAAAATCAAGTGCACATTTATATACCGATCTGCGCAGAATTCAAATCAATTGAAGGTTGGAGGGTGAGTATATCTGAAAACAAAATGTTGGCAAATACGTAAGTATGCACACAAACTACACATCGAATATGAATTAAAACACCAAGTGATTTACCTCTGGGGTTAATATACTTGGTTAAGTGCCGAGAAGCTCAGTAGCATACGCTTTAATTAACTCAGTTAAGTGAATAAATGGTTGTTTTACGAACAGGCGTCACCCCGCTGTGGACACAATCATCCTTGTTATTAAATATAGACTAATACCGCTGATAACTTAATACAGAACTAGTAACTAACACCGGTACATAAGAAAAACCTACAAAACAACCTACTTACTTGTGACTAATGTTCGGGTGAGGAAGAGATGAAAAGTTTAAAGGGTTGAAACTGGTGGACGAATGCGTGCCAGGAGTTACTAATTGTTTTTGAATTCCAGTTAGGGTTTGTTGATATTGTTGCTGTAGTAAATTTAATTGGTGCATCAGTGCGATCGCAGCCGTTTGTTGCAAACCAGCATTCGTTCCGTTTTGAAGAGAACATTGAAAGCCAGGGGGAGTAGGAAGAAGACCAACGTTATTATATCCAGTTTGGAAAGAGAAAAGTGGAGGTTGAGGAAAATAAGACAGTCTGTTGGCAGATACTGTTGCACTGCGTTGAGTTAACATGTTCTGTCGAATACCATTCGATAGACATTGTGGATGCTGCTGGAGCTTTCGACTAACACCGACTTCTAGAAGCTGTTTGTTATCCTGGGGCGCAGGAAACTGCGCTTCATCCTGGCTGGTGTGCAAGTGATTGATCTTTAAATCAGAGGTAGAGTCACTGTGAACACTAACCTCCGAATCCCGCATCGCAGAAGAGGTAGTTTCAATGCATAAGTCTTGTTCAGAAGTTACATTGTTGATATCTTCTGGTATGCTCATAGAATTAGACCTACGAATACAAGGAATAAATAGCACTTATAGTACGCTGGAACACTAACAACGTGAACGCATAGTAACACAAATAGCTGAACCCCAAAGGCTGAAAAAGCTTCTTATTAACGTAAAAAAACCCACGCATCGTTTTTTTGCGGATGGTTCAAGGAAAGTGAAGTCAAATCACTACTGAATTTCCTACAGTGCATTGTGAAATAAACTGTTCAACCTCATTTTGTGTAAACGAATTGATCTATGTATAATTCTTCCAGCTAACAAACATTTCGAAAACTTGACACGACTTGGTCAAAATACAAAATTGAAAGGTCGAAGTTACGAACTATTTCTTGGTTTTAAGGCAATCTGAGCAGGCTAGATCAAATGCAGAAAAATGACTCCACTCCGGACAGATAGGAGTAAATGCTGTTTTCAAAGATGAACGAACCCTGCTGTGCTGATGACACGGCGCTCCAAGTCGCACAGATGTGATACTAAGCTTAAGCAGACTGATCCCGACATACTACACTGAGATACGCATGCGAGTATTACAAGCTAATGCTTTTCGTTTCTTTAAAGCAAATAAAATACGCATATTTAGGATTCTAGGAAACCACTTTACTACATCTACTCCCGAATGCTCCTCTCCATCCAATGTGAATGGCTGGGATTTTCTGAAATGAACATGATAGATATGCCAGTTTGAATAGATGACCATGTAGTCGCAACGCGTGATTCTAGATAATGTCCATAGCATCACATTATGAGCAATAGCATTTCTAGACATCTTATGAATTATAAAATACTGCCAGGCACAAGATAAACAAGCACGACGAGGATAAAACTGACTCCATCATCTTAGTAGTTCAACAAGTGTTGTACTCCTGAACAAACGATGGGCTTTCAAGACAAGAGTTTCCATAATTGCTGTGTTGCACTGGTAAATACCTTAACCTTACTGATTTCAGGAACCGGTATAAAAAGCCATGAGTTTTCTGAAAGCAAATAATTAACCTGATTTTTCACTCTGTAGAACTTTAGAATTTTGTCGCTTTCGGGTGGCTTTGGACTGCACTAATGGGGAAAGTTGAACTGTCATAATTTCCGTAACAAACTTTAAAGGTGGCCTTTTAACGATGACTAGGAACTGTTAAGTTTTCAGATGTTTTTCTGTTTGAGGTATGTAAGATTGGGATATCTGTCTATGACATACCGGATTCAACCAATATGAACTGTGAGAGTTGAACAAGCCCTCAACGACCTATTGATTAAAAGCATTTGAATTATTCTCTCTAGTTCAAAGGAAAGCTCGAGGATTGAAAGGACTGAGTTTGTGAAGTGGTGTATCACATGGAAATCTACAGATCTTTGAGAACAGAACCTGAGATTAAATTCGTAAAGCCGCAAGCAAACAGCTAGTAGGCCCAGTCCTCACCACCAACAAAAAGGCCCATAAGCTGTTTGTTCGCTACTTTACGACAAATATTACCGTTTAACTCACTTGGACCTAATTAGGAAGGGTAAAGAAGTTCAAGGTTGTGATTAGGTTGCAGAGTACAAGTAATACCTAAGCAGGGCGACCTTTTTTTTTTACTGAAAAGCTTATGCATATGACAAACTACTGAATTGCCAGATGCGAGACGATCATATGGAACAATCCCTTAGCGATTAAGTTGAAATATTTATCATTTTAAATATAGTTGAAAACTTCCCAAAACAACCACAGAGACCAATGTGACTGGTTACCGCAAGGTAATTCCGAAGTTGCTTGAGACTGGACTTCACTGTCACCGTTACAAGGCAAAACCAATACAGCTGGATTTATACAATGGCTGCTCAAAAGCGACAGGACATCAGACATCCTAGATAACCTGAAATCTAGGCTTACGTAGTCTGTGATTCTTATTAGCTGGCAAATTACCACACTTTGCCTTTTTAGCATTCAACACACGAAAAACCTTGGAAGCACTTACTCCACTGAATCCCTCACTCCTACCTCATTAGGCTCCGGTGTTGCAGACCCCATAATCCTTCTCCTTGCAGCAGCATAATCTGCCTCCCTTTGCTCGAGAGTTTTAGTGAATACAGGTGGCCTGAAGAGGTGAATATTGTCGTACATAAACCAACCTCTGTGGTGTTTTTTGAACATCGGACGGAAGTGGACATGGTCGCCTCAATATACGAATAGGTGGTTGTTCCATATCAAATAGAGCTGCAGAGTGGTTAACTAAACGCATACTTTACTATTGCCTGGATAGTTCACGAGAGATAGCCATTGAATCTGCAGTCACGAAAGCATGATCCCATAGTTGACGCTAACGCCCACATTTTTTATGCAGATAAGTTGTTAACGGATCGGAACTAAAATCCATACAACAACCAGTGCGGCATTCGTACTGCCCACCTAACCGTCTGAATGTACCTGGCCAAACAAAATGTAATAAAAATTTGCCCCAATATCCAATATCTGTTTTAATAGTTTTTATAGGTTCAGTGATCTCTACTCACCTGCATTTAAGTTTCGCGAGACGGTTCCAGGTATTTGGTGGGTTCCAACGCGGTAGGTCAACACACTCAACTACTGCAGCTCTTGTTCGCCAGACGGGCGGTTAGGTATTGGTTGAATTTGTGGCGCCACACACCTACCCAAAATCAATAGCCTAGGGTTTGACGACTTTCGACATTGATGCTGACCTCAACAGTTTAACTGGACTCGCTAAGCTGAAGGCACCCGGTCAAGCATCCCCGGCCATTTGGCACGCTGTCGTGTTACGTCGCACTGCTCGTATCCGACTCTGTAGGCGGTTAGTTGGAATGCATCGGTATCTTGGCACAACCATCCAAATATATACTATTCCATCCGACTACGCTATCGTGTTCTTCCTTGGTCTCGTATTCGTGGGTATATAACAAGTCGGAATAATGAGTGACTGGTCTTCGCATCTGTCAAGTTCGCACCAGGACAAACCCCAAATTGGTGAGCCGGACATAATCACATATCCCGACCAATAACAAGTATTGAACTGGTGAGCCTATTCCATTTTATATTTGCATATTGTCTCCATTTCGATAACATTTATATATCCATTTACTACACTTTCTCATTTCTGACCACACTCCCAAGCTTATTCGTATTAAACGACTATGAACACGATCCAACTCGTGCCATATTGGTCAGACAATGCAGAAATGTGGTTTCTGTATGCCGAGGCTGATTTTCGAGAACAGGGCGTCTCACATCCTCATTCTCGACTTCGTGCCGTCATACCTTCACTACAGCGGGAATTAAACAAACATGTTACGACACACATGTTTAATCCTGAAGTGATCCTTATGTACTTCTTGAGGCCGCGCTCTTGAGGAAAAGAGATCTGACAGATCGCCAGCGCCTAGACGAATCACTTCATAACATGGAGCTAGGCAGGCACTCAGCTACTGAAGTCCTCGCACACATGCGCGAAGTAATCGGTGCACGAACATTCGAAGATGGCCTCTTCCGAGAACTATTTCTCTCAAAACTACCACAACCGGTGCAAACCGTGTTGGTGGCACTGTAGTCAGTCCCATTTGATGACCTGGCAGCCTCGGCAGATAAAATACTGGAGATTTCTAGCAGACCCGTCACCAACGTATATTCTGTCTGCGACAAGCCAGAGAGCCAGGATTCAGAGTTGACGAAGCTGTGCAACTCTGTTAAACAGTTGCTACGAACTTGAAGTCCTAGTTCACGTAGAACTCTGCAGAAACGTGACTTAGCGCATCGCAGCAACTCGCGTGATTGTCCCGGAACTAAACCTAACAGGGTGAGAAACCCGAAATGTTGTTGGTTTCATTATGCTTACGGAGACGAAGCCAGAAAATGTCGGAAACCATGCGGTTTTAACAAGGACACAAACTCGGGAAACGGTCACACCGGCACGTGTTCACGGCCACCGTAGCCAGCGGAAACAGCCATCCACTGTGCGTCATGGATATTAGAAAGAAATTTGCTAACCCGTCGACGCCGGCGTGGAAGTGAGCGTTCTTCCCGCACCGACAATGCAGAGTCATTATAACCCATTCTTCAATCTCCAAGCAGCCAACGGCAAGGTAATAGCGACGTTTGGGAGACAGCATGCCTACCGCAACTCAGGTTTACGTAAGCCTATCCACTGGATTTTCCTCCTGGCTGACGTCTCCATGCCCATCAACGGCACAGATTTGCTAAACCATTACGATCTACTCGTAGATGCTCGCCATCGACGTCTGATTGATAACAACACAAAGTTGTCTATTGGCGGCACCACCTATGTAGGTCCGAGTTTAGCTATCATTAGAACATAACAATCAGGCGACATGTCCTACCAGGCATTGTTGGAGAAGTATCCGGAGTTGCGACAACCGAAGCACACTCTTCCGTGCACAACCAGCAATGTTATGCATCACGTGACAACCACAGGTCCACCTGTGGCATCCAAAGCTCGCCGTCTAGCCCCTGATAAGCTCAAAATGGAGAAAAGCGAACCCAACCACTTGCTCTAGCTGGGCATTATCATACCGTCAAACAGCCCTCGAACATCACCATTGCACATGGTTCCCCAAAAGGATGGCAACGACTGGCGTCCAACCGCTGACTACCGAAGGCTTAACGCCAAAACAACTCCGGACTGCTACCCGATACCTCACGTTTACGATTGACTGCAACCTTATGTGGAACGAACATTTTCTCCAAAATCGACTTGGTCAAAGCGTACAACCAGATACCTATGGCAGCAGAAGATATCGCGAAAACAGCCATTATTACTCCTTTTGGCCTGTTTGAATTCCTGCGCATGCCATTTGGTCTTCGGAATGCAGCACAAACATTCCAACGCTTTATGGATGATGTCTTCCGTGGTTTGAATTTTGTTCATGTCTACATCGATGACTGTCTAATTGCGAGTCCAGATAAGGAAACTCACCTTAAACATTTGGACCTCGCATTCGAAAGACTTAAAAAACATGGCATCACAGTAACTTACAGAAGTGTGAAATAGGAGTTGAATCACTCAGCTTCCTTGGGCATACCATTGACAACAAAGGTATACGCCCATTGAGAGATAAAGTGGCGGCTATCACAAACTATCCAGAGCCGACCACTGTGAAACATCTCCGCACTTTCAATGGCCTGGTAAGTTATTACCGAAGGTTTATCCCTAACTGTGCCTCTGTCATGAGACCACTAACAGATCTACTTCGAGGAACTGCGAAGTTCGTGTCTCTGGACAACGCGGCTAGACTTGCTTTCTCTAAAGTCAAGGAAGCCATTTCGAACGCAACCATGCTTATGCATCATGACCCCAATGCTCCTCTGAGTATTGCTGTTGATGCATCTGATTCAGCAATTGGAGCAGTTTTGCAACAATTGACTGACAACCAGTGGCAACCGTTAGCCTTTTTCTCGAGGCGGCTGCAAGACGCGGAAACAAGATACAGTACATTTGGTAGGGAACTCCTAGCCATGTACTGTTCTGTACGCCATTTTCGACATTCTGTGGAAGGTCGTGATTTCATTATTTTCACAGACCACAAACCGTTAACGTTTTCCCTCAGCTCGGCGTCTGACAAATACTCCCCTCGTGAGTCGCGACAGCTGGATTACATTTCCCAGTTCACGTCAGACATCCGCCACATTTCTGGAGCAAACAACTCCGCAGCCGACGCACTATCACGAATAGCTTCGATAAATCATATCGAGGGTATTGATCTCGTTGAACTAGCTCGGCGTCAAAAGGAAGACCTTGAGCTGCATCATGAGTTGTCGTCCACAACTCTCAAGCTGCGACTTTGTCCTGTTGGATCAGACAAGGATACAATTTTGTGCGATGTCTCTGCTAGTCAACCACGCCCAATAGTTCCGAAGAGTTGTCGACGCAACGTCTTCAATACGTTGCACAAACTCTCTCATCCAGGTGTACGAGCCACCATTAGGCTTATCGCACAACGTTTCTGCTGGCCTGGGATGAACAAAGACGTTAAGGAGTGGGCTCAGTCGTGCTTAGCTTGTCAAAAGTGTAAAGTCACGCGACACACGAAAAGCCCTTTAGGCTCTTTTCTAGCCCCAGACATGCGTTTCGACCACGTCCATATAGATATTGTAGGACCCCTACCAGAATCTAATGGATGTACCTACCTTTTCACTGTGTTGATCGTTTCACACGATGGCCGGAAGCAGTACCTATTAAGATATTACTGCCGAAACAGTTGCTCGTGTTTTCGTCGAAAGATGGATCGCGAACTTCGGATGTCACAGCCGACCGTGGGCGCCAATTTGAGTGTGGATTATTTCACGCTCTAACGGCACTTTTAGGTTGCACTCGGTTCCGAACGACAGCCTACCATCCACAAGCAAATGGCATGGTAGAGCGTTTCCATCGACAGCTGAAAGCTAAGCTTTCAGCTGCAAACATACCTCAGTGGACCGAGGCTCTGCCTCTAGTCCTACTAGGTATTCGTAACGCGTTGAAAGTTGATGCTGGATGCACCCCTGCAGAACTCGTCTATGGGACCACTCTTCGCCTACCAGGTGAGTTTGTTTCTCCTTCAACTTTCAAACATGTTTCCGACAGGGCATCTTACATGACTAGGCTTACAAACGCAATGCGTTCAGTTAGGCCTTCTCCGGTTAGACCGACTGATGTCTTCTTTCACCCCAGTTTACAAAAGACATCACACGTGTTTATTCGCCACGATGCCGTTCGTCGACCACTTGAACCACCCTACGTCAGGCCATTCAAAGTGATCAAGCGACACGAGATATCCTATATAGTTGAGCGAAACGGATGTGATTATACTGCCAGTTTCGACCGTTTGAAACCAGCTTATTTGGAAGGCAACCCCATTATAAGTGACGTTTCAGCTCGCTACAGCCGACCGACGGATAGCTCAATTATCGAAATTCTTGACGACGTCTCTGGTAATGCACAGTTACAACAACCATCGGCGCAACAGAAAACACGATCAGGTCGAACCATCAGGTTCCCGGAGTATTTGAAGTCGTATTCAACTTGGCGGTGTGAAATAATATGTGCCAACCATTTTTTTAAATTCCGTTTTCTTTTCCGAGGCACCATTTTTCTTATTTACCAGCAATGTGAAACTCCTCGTACATTTTGCCTTTTTATGTCAACTTTTTTTATTACCATGAAATGAAACATTTTTTATAAGAAAACGGTGAAAATAA